ACGTCTTCTTTAATCCACTAAATTTATCTTCAGCAGCTAGAACGACACTTCTTGACTTTCCGGTAGGCAGCGTCGTTTGCTGAAAATTACTCAAATCTTATGAATATGGATTAACAACTCCAGCCAATTATCGGCTGGTATGTCGCGCAGTTTTGTTTGCACGCTTAGCCAGTTAATCAAGAATTAAGGAGATCGATAGGCGTTGTGTTCTACGAATTTGCAAAGAAGGAGGAGAACAAAATTAACATTATTACATTGCAAAAACAATTTGTTTGAAGTTCAACATTTGAAAATGGGAAAGGATTTGAAAAAAAAATTCATTTTCAAAGGAGGGGCGGAAGAAGGAAAAAAAATGCAAACATGAAGTTTATTTTACTGTTTGCTTCACTTGAATAAAAATTTTACGAAATGAACGCTTTGTGTACTCCGCTTAGGCGATAAAATGACAGGGTTGAAAAACGCAAAAGGAACCGAATAATTTGCGGTTAATTCGCTATCAAGGGGGCATAGAAATAACAGATAACGCGTTGTTATTCCCTGAAGGCAGGTCACACGGGGAAACTGATCCTCACGCCAGGAAGGCGAGTTAAAGATTGAACTAAACAAGAAAAAATAATACATATCTATACTTAGATATATCCCCGATATCTTGGTTGGAAAAGACAAACTTTCGCCAGGGTCTAAAAGAAAACCTGTTCATCTTCATTATTACAAAAACTGTCAATGAACATAAATGTTAAGTTAGGAAAGATATTCAATCTGTTGAAGTGAACAACGAGAAGTTCAACGAAGATATTGTGTTTGCGAGTTAATTTCAATGTTTTTCCTTCTCTAAAAGGGACCTGGAAACGGGCTCTTTGAGGTCACGCAAGTTTGAAATCACGCGATGTTGTTCTCGTTTTTCACATGTGATCTAAATTTGTTTATGATCAGCTCACAATATAAACACACAGTTCCGAACCGAACTTTTACCGCTCGTAGATGGGTCTATGTGCTTCTGGTGAACCAAAAAACTACGAAACGATAAATCCCTACGATGAAGACACCTTTCTTTGCTTTCGGCATGGCGAAGGAACGTATCACTACAGCAATGGTGACACGTACAAGGGACAATGGCGATGGAATAACTTACACGGACATGGCTTTTACACACATGCAAATGGAGAAGTGTGAGTAAGGTTACATATGCTGTTTTTTTAGTAATGAATCTAGACTTTGATTAAACATTTGATGGGCGATAATGTTGGGGCAGATGTTTCATTCTTTCATTTCATGGCGCCTAGACGATTTTTCAATTAACGTTAGTTTTGTATGTGTAAGATTTAACGGCACAGCAAAGAAGAGTGAAACGGAGCATTTCAATTTCGAGCTATCTTTCTGTTTTATTAATAGAATTCCATTTCATTATCAAACGGGTAGACTGCCCGTTGTCTTCATGCAGAACCTCTTGTTAACTGTAGCGTGCCCGTGATGAATCCATTTCGCTTAGTTAATGATTTTGCTACCCCAGTCTACGCATCCTAGTTTCGCTAACAAGAAGCGTGTACGAAAGTGACCGAGCTAACACAAAATGACTTCATGCATATGGCTATTGCTGGATATTCATTTATTTGCTTGGCAATAAAACCTCAGTTACCTCCAGTTTTAGTGGGTAGACCGATGCACTTTCGTTTTTCCCCTTTTGCCTGGTAGCCAGGCCTTCCTTTCTTAAAAATTTTGTTCCTCTTATCAACAAAATTTTTTCAATTTAATTCAAATTTTTGCTCAGAGAGAAAGAGAATATGTGGATGTAAAACCTCTCAAAAACAGTTCGTCAAAGCAAATTTTAATCTATAAACAAATTGGAGTTTGCTTTTCTTTTACTTGTTGTGAAAAGCAAAATCAGCGAACGTGACTTCCCTCACATTGACCATGCTTTAAATCCCAAAACTTGTAGACCTTTTCTTCTGAACCATTCGCTCGCTAACGCAAATTATTTACCTTAAACTCCTCCGTATTTAAGGATATAACACTTGTATTCTGCTGGAAAGACTTGACTCTTATGGTTCTAAAACGCCACCCCAGTCAGGCTCAGTTGAAAATTCCTAACCCGCCGGGCACGGATGACGGTCAAATGCCTGTGGGTTCCCAGGGGAGAGATGTTGAAGCTTCGAATTGATCGGCGCATGAGTTGAAGACCTGGTGATCTTTTTGCTGTAATTTCCTCCGAGAAATAAAAATAGGTTTACAATTTCAAAACTATTGAAACCCAAAGGTAAGAAGATCACATACGCCACCTTGTAACTCTTTCTTTTCTATTGCTTTTTCTCGGCGTAAATTTTCTATTTAACAGCAAAAAGAAGCGGTAAAAATTTTTTTAAAAACGACGTGACAACCGTTCTACGGTCATTATCAAGTTTCAAATGTTGAAAAAATAGGAACATAGACTTATAAGCGCAATTCTTTGTAGCCTTTTTGCTTTGTGCTTTTAATCCATTAAAGAACTGTTTAGTAGTCTGTGACAGTTTATTATTTAAAAAACAATGACCAACCCAGTGTACATCGTGAAGAACTCGTGATTGCATCGTGATTATTTAAAACCCCTATTTAGAAGGTGGATGCTATATAACTGACGCGTAGGTCACGCAATTATCGCAGGTAGAAGATTTGCTACATTGACAAGTATTTGCTTGATCGAAAGCACTTTTCAGGACCTCCGAAAACGTAAAAATATTGGACACCACTGAGGAAACTGCGTAAAAGATGGTTCAAATATTGTTTTTTTTAAATTCATTTATTTTATTTCTTCATTTAAAAAGACAATCGCAAGCGTGGTCTGTGATGACACTTCAGATCTGTGATCTGTGATGACACCTCATCAAGACAATAATAATAATAATCTTTAATTGTCACTTCCACTCTGCCCAACAGTGCATCAAAATTTTGGATAGAATTTTTACAATGATCATTCATGTACGTCGATTTATTAACACTTCTCCGACACATCGGTTGATGATCTTCCAAGAAAGTAATTTCTATCAATTACCAAAAAAGTGGCCAACAGATCTTTTTTCATGAAAATGTTACCACAAAAGCGGCGTAATGTATAAAAAGTACCCTTGATATTAGCGCGTAAAGAACTGATAATTCAGATGTTTTTGTACTGTCCTCTCTGATCAAGGTCACCATATAAATTCTTACGTTTAACTCTTTGTATTTTTTCGATGTCATAGAAAAGAAGGATATTTTTATCAACATGAGTACATCGGAAGAGATCCTGAAAATTTATTTGCTGCTACAACATGTTGCACTGGGTTATGTTTTGGACCTGCTCAACCAGCACCTATTGCAAGTGATGAGGACATAAGGTAAAATTTTCATTCTGAAGAAAAAAAAAAAAAAGAGAGTTTACACCTTCGTTTAGTCTGAATGATTGCATGAATGCCTAAGGAGAGACACCCAAAAGGACGTTCCTTAGACTTCTTCCCATCAAAGGGAAGGTCAACGAATAGGGTCCGTTTTGAGGCCAATTGTGACAGATTCATAAGTTGTAAACCCTTTCACTTCCAAGAACTCAAGGTAATTCTCCTAGCTAATGACGAAACATTATTCCTTTGTGAGCATAATAATATATGAACATAATAATAATCTTTAATTGTCACTTCCACTCTGCCCAAAAGTGCATCAAAACTTTTAAGAGAACTTTTACAGTGATCGTTATTGGGAAAAAAAAAGCACCTCTTGGCCTCAGTTATGTTGCAAATGACTTTTTGATGGTGTTGCGTGACGTCCGCGAAATAATGTGGTGTGACTTCCTCTTGGCCTCAGTTATGTTGCAAATTGTTGCAAATGATTTTTTGATGGTGTTGCGTGGCGCTCACGAAATAGTGTCGTGTGACTTCCGTTAAATATCTGGGAGACTACGACCGAAGATGAAAATAATTGAAACATTCGCGTGAATTATCATTTATCTCTTTCAGAATAAAAGCGATAGAAGAAAAACCCGAACAGAAGGCTGAAGAAAGGGAGGCACGGCAACGCCGAAGGGACGAAATGCGACAGAAGTATCATATCAAACCCATGGGGTACAAATAGTCTTAACATGAATG